AGGAACGTTTGTCAAAATTCGTTCAAGATATTTGTACTTTGGTTGTTGCAATGATTTTGAGTATACATATACGTTATTGAATAATACACCGTTCGGGCTCTCGATCAGACTGATTACGACGTTCGTTTTACCTCAGTTCGATGGACCGCAAATTATACCACGTATCGTATTCGGCAAGAGGGGTCCGTGTCGTTGCCGACGATCGTCCATGCGTGTTGTCCTCTCATCTACATCGAGAATAATGATAGACAGGGGCTGCTTTGCGAAACGCATATCGTCTATATAATAACCATATATTTAATGATTCAGCCTCTTTATAGGTTGTGGAAAAGCTGCTTGCCCGCGTCGTGAACGCGCTTTAGCCGCGGCCATAGACGAGCTTTAATCGCGATTAACCCTTTTTCTCCGCGGCGATAACGCGCTTTAACCGCGATTAACCCTTTTTGTCCGCGGCGGGGCGGTGGCGGCGGCGGCGCGCGGCGTTGGCGGGCACGCGGTGGTGGCGGGCACGCGGAATGCAATTCGTGACCGAGCCATCAAATACGCATCCAAGCAACAACGTGACCGAAAGTCTGTCTCGACGATGCTCTCTCTATCTGTACCAGATTGCACATCGACACGTGTCTGCATGTAAACATGGATTTCGCCCTACTCCCTCGTGTCTTTGAAATAGAAGAACATTCCTTTGTATCTCCTACATTGGAATATGAAACATAAACGTTACACATACAATCGTTTTAGGTAAAACAACATTAAGACGCATAAAGTATATTTTTACTAAATAGATTTTATCATTTTACAGTAATGAACAAAATTAATAAATGATATTAAATGTTTCGTGTTTTAAGACAAATGTAACAATTTTTCTTTTTCGGTGGAGGTCCATCTATGTGCCTGTCATCCCCCGGCCGGTTATAATGTTCCATACACAGCTCTTCATCTTCCTCCTTCCTTTTTTTTAACCACCATTCTTTTAATATCGATACGTTTCTCATAGCACATGCTCCGTTGTGCGCGATGCATGCCATATGTTTATCCATCCATCCATCCTGAATATGCTGGCTCTTGGTTGGCAAATTCGGTAGATCGTCATCTGTGTTCAAAACCTCTATATTGATTGGACTGACTGAAGGATAAAGTTTCTTCAGCCATTTTTCTTTCTCAATGCTCTTGACGTATACAGATCCATGAATACTATCTTTCAAACACGAAGCGGCACACTCTTGAAGGCGTGAATACGTCACGGTACCATCGTCCCACTCAAAACCATGATGATTTTGCGTCAACCATTTTATTTGTCTTAATTCTGCTTTCGACAATTTTCTCTTAGCAAATGGAGGCGCAAAGATGAAACATTGTACACGATTCCCATTCTGGAAGATGGCAAGTTCCTTTACGAATAACTCGTTCGTATCGCTTTTGAAGCCTTGAATGTCCACGAATGTTGGTACGTTCATTTTGATTAGTTGAATTTGTGGCGAAAAATGACTGGTTTTGCTGTGGAATAATCTCATATAAACCCTCTTCCACTTAAGAGAGTTTGCGCACTACATTGGTCAGTGGATTGTACTGCACGATACGATCGTGAATGATCAAACAGTAAGCGCTAGTATTTTCAGGAACGTTTTCACTACACTCAAAATCGATTCTTACATCGATTGTAGCGCTTTTTATCGATTCGTTCTGATGCGAGCAATCAATGACAACGAACGGGCCGTAGCCAAAAAAGAGTATCTTATCGTATAGAGCTCCGTCATCACCATTACTGCACATTGCTCCGTAATATGACTTTCTGAATTTTGCATACATGTCGTAAAGGACAGAGTATCTATTTTTATTAAAGTCAAGATTCAAATTGTCATACGGATATGAATCCGAATTTAAATACAATCGAAAATTGGTGAGTTTGCAGTCATCAAATTTGGTGATATGTCTATTGAGCCTATTTTTTTTATCCGTTTGTAATGCAAATATTACATATCGTGGTTTTTCTAATTGCGTAGCTGCTTTAATGCTCCATGTATGTTTAGTGGTTGCTTGTAACATTGGATACTCGTATAAGTCCCAGGAACGGTAACTCATAATTATCGTTTGACCGTTTTCAAGGATGCGCAACAATGAAAGTTTGTGCCTTTCTTCGAGCGTGACATGTGGCATCCTCCACTGTACTTTGTATAGTTGCAGCGTGTATTTTGCACCATCTGTTCCAAAAATAGCGTTTTTGTCGTCTCGCGACCGAATCAGAATCAATTCATGATGCGCATTAATCACTATTCGTTTGTAATCTTCGCAGAAACCGAGCAGCATATTTAGAGGAACACAAAAGTCAAAGTAGCCTCCTGCATTGGGTATGTCTATCCAGCCAGCGTTTTCAAGCATTTTCGATCTTGTCGTTGTCAACGATACTCCATTTTTTATCATAGTTGTTATTCCAACGTTTTTACAACGATCAATCTCCACGCCGTTTAATTCATATCGAATTTCATCAAACATAAATGCGGAGCAATTCATTTCTAGTCCAACTGAAGTTCCTGCAACATTGTCATCGTTGAGAATGAGTTTTCCTTCGACGTAAAGGTAACTCTCACTAGGAAACCTGTACAAATCTTGTTGTTGAATGGGAATTCGTATTTCATCATTGTTTCCGAACGTTGTGTTGGCGTATGGGCTGTAACTATGTAATTCGATCTTTGTAATTCGATCATCAGAAATCGGTAAACTGACAATGTTCAATGGATCCATCATTTTCGTTTCTTAATCACAAAACCCAACGATTGCAGAAATTGCGCGTTTTATCGCTCAAATCTTGCGATGTGTTCAGTTTGGAGATATTGTCCTTACTAAATGATTGTAAAGAGTCATCACCGTTTAATACATGATTATCATTCCTGCAACCGTGGCAATTGCTGCAGCAAGTACAGTTTGTGCGTTTGTGATTGAAGTTCTGGTTCCATCCATTTTCTAACGATCCTTTTAGCAACTCGTTCAACGGGGCGCCCAATAATGCATTCGGCGGATTGTTGATCGCTTGAGTTTTAGCATCTGTGTACAACAGCATTATTTCTAGTAATGTTTGGCATAACTGCTGCTTCTTCTCTTGAAAGGCTATTAAATGAATGGATATTTAACGTATATTAAACGGCCGCGTCGTCGGAGCGTTCAACGATGTGCTCTTGCGATGTGTCCGATTTGGATATATTTCCTCTACTGAATGATTGTATAATTGTCATCGTTTTTACATCATTATCCTTACTGCGGCTGTCGTAGAATGTTCAGCATGCCATTCGAGCCGTTCGAGCCGTTCAGCGGGCCGTTCGAGCCGTTCAACGGCAAGCCGTTCGAGCCGTTCAGCGTGCCGTTCGCGGGCCGTTCGAGCCGTTCGAGCCGTTCAACAGGCCATCGATTATGTTTATATTCATGTTATTTTTTACACCGTCTAATGTGAAGCCTCACTGTCACTTCTTCTCCACGGAAATTTATCAGATTATTGTTTTGATCGGTAATGCGTATACTAAGGTGATCAATGGCTCTCACGATAACTGGAAGATAAATGACGTTCGTAGGACTTTCCGAAATTTTATATCCTGGCGGCACGCGCGGTGAAAACTCATGAATGGTATGAACACATTGACCGTTGCTATACGCACCAGTTGTAATATTACATTCGATCCTCAGCACGTTTACTTTCATAATATTTACCGGTATATCCGACTCGTGCCATTGCCCCGGCGGTAATATGCGATATGTAGAAAACCCGAGAAGCAATCCAATATTATTTGGTTTGGTAAAATCGATTGTATAATCACTATATATTTCACTTTTCAAAGTGCTGTTATTTGTACGAAACAAAATGATTTTTGTCTTGTCCATTATTTTCTCTTGCATGTATTTATTTAGCGCTTCGAGTTCGTACGAACCATCCGGTATCGTGATCTCACCATCGGCATCAAAGTAAAATTTATTGTTTGTAAAGTCAACGTTCGGTATTGTGTTGAAAGCTTGAAAGTCAACGAGTCCGAGTTCGTAATTATCATCCTTCAAGTCTATAGGTGGAAAGTAATCAGTGCTAAGCACAGAATTTTTTCCGCTTAACGTAAACGTCAACGACATCTTTGCAACTGTGAAGACTATGTGCATCGAAACTATTTTATACATTTCCGGCTAAAAAATGCAAGCAGAGTTGTCCGCATACACTCGTATTGAATTTTTGATACTGCGCGTGATTGTATAAAATCGTTACATGGTTTCCGAAGTAGTTTATTAACTCTGTCGGTGGCCTCAGATTTCCAAAAGAGTCGAAATATTTTGAACACTAACATAAATCGAATCAACAAATCTTCTTGTTACTTTTCCGCGGCACCATTACTTTCTTCTTTGGCTAACAATATTCCAGCAACGCGCGGAGACAAAAGTATTTTCCAATCTGGTGCGAATTCTTTTTTTGTGCTAATTCGAAGATCAAATGTGCATATGCATATTGTACGACTATCGTATAGGAAGTGAAATTTTTTCCTGGGATGTTTGGGTTTATATAGGTAGAGAGAGAAGTTGTAAATGATGCAATACATTATGATTTATTAAAGTATAATTTCTAACATAATTTGTAACATAATCCTTTTTTCTCTGTTAAGATGCTGCTGATGCGGCTGTTATTATTGCCTGAATACCTAAAGTTACTAATTTGCAATCAATAATTGAATTTGGATCATAAATATCAGTTTCTTTGATATGCCGCACAACCTCTGCAGGCACTTTTACATCCCCGTATCCCCGAACTAATGCAACAAACTCTTTAAATTTTTGTTCCACCGAATACAGATTATCATATAATGCATTATGCATTTCAACTATACAATCATTTAAAATTACCATTTTCTCAAATGTTTTTTTCATCATGCACATACATATATCATTGCTAATCAATTTAATTACGTTTTCACCATATAGCACTCCAAATTCAACACTTATATTATTAAAATTAATATTGTCGCGTGAACATTTTAATCGTCAAAGAAGCTGTATACGTTGTCTGCTTCGGCTACAATCAGCGACCATGTGACTATGCTCAGCTCCAGGCGGTTGTTTCGGCTGTCTGATAATACGAGTTGCGGGTAGAAATTGTCGCCAAGTATATTTATGCCGATTTCCAAATACTTTGTACAGGAATCCGTCAATGGATATTTTCGGCCCAAAATTCTGCATGATAATTGTGTTGCGATTCTAGAACAAATAAATACCGTTTAAGTATGTTATTAGAACAAGTACCGACAGCGTTAAATGAAATGTGTTTCGAACACTTACTTCACGTCATTCTGATGTTTTGTCATTTTTTTGCGTGCCTCTTCTTCTTGAGTAGAACTTGCGGGGCGCTTCCTTTGGCAAAAAAACTCTTTGAAACTTTGAGAATACATATTTCACTTTTCATAATACAATCTCGCGAACGATGCGCTTGCGGTGATGATCAATTTGGTTTTGCGTGTGCTTGAAACTTTAGCAAACCCCCTACCTTCTATAGTCACGAATTGCAGTGTCAGATTTGCTGCGTCAACAAAAAACTCATTTCCAAGACGTAGAAAAAATCATTTCCAAGACGTAGAAAAGAGTGGTCTTCCGATAAGAACAAACAGTTCAAGGTCATGGAGGGTGGGGGTAGGGTGTTATATTTCTGCCGACGGTGGTGTAAAATTTCAGTTCAAGGTCATGGGGTGGGGGTTGTCATGGGGTGGGGTGTCAAATTTCAGTTCAAGGTCAGGACGTATCATATTTCTGCTGACGGTGGCGTCTAATTTTAGTTCAAGGTCATGGGGGTGGGGAGAGGGGTGGGGGTTGTCGTGGACGTATCATATTTCTGCTGACGGTGGTGTCAAATTTCAGTTCAAGGTCATGGGGTGGGGAGAGGGGGCGGGGAGAGGGGTATCATATTTCTGCTGATGGTGTCAAATTACTGCTGAGTCAGCAAAAAAAAATGCTGACGCCAGTGATTTAGAATCCGCATAGAACAACTACTTAGTTCCCTTCGCGATTTTCGCATACAACACCTCCGTGCACGAGGGTACAAAATTTAGCCGGTTCGAATTAATCTAGGGGAAACGTGCACGATGTCCTACCGCATTTTCCGCCAACGACGATCTTCCAGCTTATGACGGTTATATACAAGATCTTAATGATCGTTTGAACGAAATGCAGGAAATTGCGGGAAATAATTTGAATCGCGCGAAAATCAGGTCGAAGTCGTATTATGACGCGAGAGCGCGTCCATTTAAAGGTAAAATAGGAGACATGGCATACGTCCTGGTTGAGCCAAGGGTAGGGAAGTTTGGCAAACGGTATCACGGTCCCTACGAAATAGCGGAAATTACACCAAAGCATAACGTCGTATTGAAGAATGAAATGGGTAACTTCTTTTCCAGGCATATAGACAAACTGAAATTCTGGAGGACAGAAAAAACTTGATTTCGATGCACAGTTGGCCTTTTTACTTGCGAATTAGAACCAGATGATTCAACAAAGAGGCAACCGAGATTCTGTGGAAGGGTCGACTGGCGCATTGCGTTTCTTTGTATACTTTCTTTGCAGGAACGGTTCACACGATGAAAGCGCCAGCGTTTATCGAATTTCTATGTTAAAATCTTGCGATCATTATCCGTGTACTTTGTATACCCAGACTAAACGATGACTACCTACAACGTCCGGAAGGAGGACAACGAGGGACGAAGGCTGTTCGTGGCCAATTTGGCCCCGTTCACCCGCAACAAGCTCCTGTTGAAGGTGTTTGCCGAATTCCAGCCGCAACACACGGCTATAATCCGGAAGCCGACAGGGACGACCAGCTTTATAACCTTCCCAACGGCGGCACAGGCAGGCGACGCCCTCGCTTGGGCCACGAGAACGGGCCCAACTCTCCACAAACGCAAACTCTCGGTCAAGAGGGCTGACTCTTGGCACGAGGCTAACTTAATTCGTCCGAGACCTCGCGTCGATCCGTTCCCGGGCTTACCTCGGACCTATTCGCCTGCATTGCCGATCGAAGTCATAACCAGGATTGCCAGGCTACTCCGATTCAGCGACCGGGCAAAGATGGAGGGAGTTTGCCGTGCTTGGAGGCAAGGTGCCCTTGCCTCGTACTCTACAATTCAGGAGCTCAGCTCTAATGATTGGCGGTGGCCGGACGGCTGGGAGGGAAAAAGGAGTACCACCGAGGCGTTTTACTGGGCCGTGCAACGCATGGGCCCGTACGTTAGGAGCTTGCTGCTGGACGACACTAGCGTAACCGGCAGACTTCGGCCTCAAGTCCTCTCGATCGCTGTCCGCGGGTGCCCATTTTTAGCGAGCGTGAATTTAACCGGCGCGACTATTCGCCCTCCCGCGATCCGCGATTTAACGCCGTCCGCCGCGAACTTACGCGAGCTTTGGGTGGGGAAGTGTCACGGACACTTAGACACCGAGTTGGAAAAATTATTTGCGGTAGCATCTCAGCTTACTACTTTCGGGGCTACGGGGACCGAATTTCAGGGAAAGTCGATGCTCTGGATGTCGCGATCAATTAAGACCTTGCGACTTCGAAATTGCGCCGCGCTTTTACCCGAACCAGTGGCTGCCACGTTGGCGTCCTTGCGCTGTCTCACCGACCTAGAGCTAGCACAGTGCCAGGCTTTAACCACCGTGCAACCTCTTCAAACCCTGATGGGAAACGAGCTAATCCACACCACCTTGGAGGAGCTGCGAATACACGGGATCAGCCTTGACCCGACATACCGCGATCCGGACATAGAGGACGTGGAAGTCCCCGAGGACCTCCAGATGCCCTACGTCGAATTAAATGCGGGGCCGGCGGATGAAGGCGCAACTCTTGCGACTGTGTTTCGCAACCTGAGAGTGCTGGAGCTACGATTCTGCGGGTGGGTAGCAAATTCACAGGTAATACATATTGGACAGTATCTGAAGAACTTGGAGCGCCTGGATCTGTCTGGCTGTTCCAATATTCGCGGCCAATTTGCCTTGGAGCCGCTGGAGTCACTCACCATGCTCCGCCAGATCCACCTAGTAAACCTCCACCCGAGCGTCGGGATACAACCGCTGGCATTAGTACCTACCCTGGAGGAGATCCAGTGCCGTGACTCAGCAGGGATCACCGATGAAGAAGCCTGTCAGGTAGTCCGCGGGTGCCCCGCACTGACGAGATTCAACATCGAGGGGTGCCAAGGAATCACGCAGCAAGCTGTCAGGGGGATTACCGAGATCGTCCGCCGAGAGGGCAGAGCCGCGGTGCTGTGCCTCTGGGTGGGTGAAACAAATGCTCAGCGTTGATCAAGAGTTCCGCAGTCTCTGCTTCTCCGGGTATACCACGATCGGGCGTTTCAACCGTTTCTGCAGTGAGCGCGGGAGGGCGAAGCGCGTTGCGGCGCGAGCACCACCACGCGTACGCACCCCCACATCGCCGGGGACGGCAATGATTCGGGGGGGGAGGGGGGGGGGGGGTATTGTTACGTCCGGGTTCATTTCTCATTAACCCGACCTTACGTTCCTCATCGGGTGCGCTGCATCTGGAAACTTTCCACGTGAGGGGCGCAAGGAAGGGCCTTTCTTATCTTACTTTTCCTCGTTTACCTGTTCGCGCTCCTCCGATCTTGTGCTCTTCCGTCGGGTGCGTGTGCACTTGGAAGTGATTCCTCACGGAGAACACAAGAAAGGAGATTGAGATTAAAATTATAATTCTCCTTTTTCCTTTTCTCTTATTAGTTTCAATAGTTTAACCATCAATATACCAAATTTGTGTACCTCGCCAGTGCGAAGCACTTGGAGATAATCCCAGGCGAAGCACACAAAGGAGGCTATATTTAGTTCTTTCAAATAATACGAGTCAACCTTTCCTTGGGATGATTGCCTAGTCGAAACTACGCCGCGACAAAAACTTCGAAAGTCGAAACCGTTTAGGGAGAGGTATCGTAAACATCTTTCGCTGCGCGGTTAAGCAGTGCGACGCACTTGGAAATTTCCCAACTTAACCGTGCAATATAAAGAAGAATTTTCTTCTATTTTATTAGCGAGGTACCTCTCATACCTATAAAGCATGCGTCAGCCGACCCTTCCACGAGGAATGAATGTAATTAAGAACAAAGCGATTGGAATTGAACGGAATGAAACTGTTTGAATGATATTGGAATGCGAGGGTTTGCGTGACAACCGCTGTAGTTCGAAATTGTTCACGAATGTTCGAGACAAGGGTCGATCGAGACAATAAACATCGTCGTTAAACGTTAAACGTAGAACGTTTCTGTTACGGCGTAACGGCCAAATTGGTTAGAACACATGTATCAAGTTTTTTGTCCTTTAGCAAGTTTTTTCTGTGACCGAACGTCTTGGGTGAAACGCAATCCGGACGTAATTTGATCTCTAACACGTGCGTCGATAATCCATGCGGATTTGAAGACTCATGCCAGACAATAGAACCAATTACGGAGCATGCTAGAGATGACACCCCCTCCCAACCGGCCAGCGAGGCAATATAAGCGCCCGTCAGAAAAATCGGCAGATCATTCTGCTCCAAAGCGTACAACGAGCGGAAACGTGAAATTAAATAAAGAAATTGATTTGCAAAATTTAAAGTGATAGAGTTTTATTTCAAATACACACTGGCAGTTAATGTCTGCCAAGGTAGGCTAAGTATGCCAGAAGGTTTCCTTCAAAACCATAATATATTGCTTAGCATCTAAACATGGTCCTTCGAGCCGGATACTGAATAGCAAATTCGAATCAGTGTTGAGACCAGATTCAGTCTCTACACTTCAAAATTGACGGGGATACTCGTCAAGCAACAACCAGCCGTAGTGGACATCCTCCTGGAAAGCAGCCACGTACGGAGACGAAGCAGCCGTAGTGGACATCCTCCTGGAAGGCAACCACGTACGGAAACACCAGTCGCAGTGGACATCCCTGTGGAAAGCAGCTCCGTGCAGAAAGAAATCATCCGTAGCAGACAGCCCGGTGGTAGGCAGTCCCGGAACACAGCATCAACAACAAGTAGGCTTACACGTTCTCCATTTTTCCTTACATATCCAACCTTCCAAAGGTCATTAAGGCGCGAGATCGGGTTTGCTCTATTTTAATTAAATTCATCAACTCAATCGCATTAAAATGGCGACCGCAAAGAATATCAAATCATTAACCAAGGCGCGTACGGTAACCAAGGCAAGTGTATCGCGTCTAATAAATCACTTAAACAATCATCCAGTCATGGAAATTGAGGCATTGGAAACGCGTAAAGAAAAATTAGATGAATATTATCAATCAGTTCAAAAAACTCAAAACGAAATTGAGGATATTATCGATGAGTCAGAGTTTGAGGAGGACTCAAATCTTGTAAGAGAACAATTTGATGAACTATTTTACGAATGTTCTGATTTAATTAGTAAAAGGCTTCGCGATCTTCGACTTAACCAAGCATCAACAAATACTGCTACTAGTGTGCCTGAATCGTCTCCAGGTACTTCAAATTTCGTTATTCAATAAAGTAACACGTTGTTACCGAAATTAGAAATCCGTCCATTTGATGGTAACCCTATCGAGTGGCACAGCTTCTACGATAGCTTTCAGTCTCTTGTCCATAATGATTCAAGAATACCAGCTGTTCAAAAGTTTTATCTATTAAAAAATTCATTACGTGGAAGTGTTGCCACAATACTCGAGCCCCTACACGCATCTGAGGAAAATTATTTGGTAGCCTGGGAACTTCTTAAACAACGATGTGACAGACCGCGACAAATAGTACATGCACATCTAAAATCATTTTTAGAGTTACCAGAAATTAACAAAGATTCATCTCTTGGCTTAAGAACATTAAAGGAGAACGCATTAATGCATGTTAACGCACTAAAGGCGTTGCAGTTACCGGTTGATAGTTGGGATGCATTGTTAGTGTACATTCTTACGCAAAAATTAGACAAGTTAACTCGTAGAGCTTGGGAACGTAGCTTGGAGAATGATCAAATGCCAACATTCGTTGATCTCATTAGCTTTTTGGGAAAGCAAGAGCGGGGAGATGACATAGAAGAGCTTAGTGTTGCGAAAAATAAGTTAGGTAATCATCCTAATGTTGATAGACATACACATCGTAATGAGAAACCATTCAAGGCTCGTGTACAAACATACGTCGGTACACAGCAGCTGTTAGAATGTTCAATTTGTCGGGGAGATCATCACATTTTCACTTGTACCAAATTCTTAAAGTTGAATACACGCGATAGATTGTCTTCTGCTAAAGAGAAGCGATTATGCATTAATTGTTTATGGAGCAATCACATGACTAGTAATTGCACGACGTCCGGGTGCAAAAAATGCAAGCGAAAACATAATACACTTTTGCATTTCGACAATTATCATTCACCAAGCAACGATGATAAAGGCAATGAAACAAAGTCACTTCCTGATAATTCTAGTGAAGAAGTACAGAAGGGCTATGCAGTCACGTATGATTCGGAAGTATTGTTAGGGACGGCTCGAGTAAAAATACTAGATAGCAACAATCGAGAACGAGAGTGTAGAATATTGTTAGACGGATGCTCACAGTGCAATTTCATTTCGACTCAGTTAGCAGAAAATTTGAAGTTAGAAAAGGATGACATTGATTTACCATTCGCAGGGTTAGGTCAACTTACCACGCGCGCTAAGTATCGAGTTAAAACTAAAATCAGATCGAAAACAAACAACTTTGAAGCTGAAGTAGAATTTGTAGCATTACCAACAATAACAAGCGTGTTACCGTCGCGACAAATTAATCGACGAGCTATTGCGATTCCGAGAAACATTAGACTAGCAGACCCTGAATTTGACAAACCCGCAGAAATTGACGCGTTGATAGGAACGACGTTATTCTATAAATTAATGAGCAATGGACAAATTCGATTAGAAGACAATTCAAAATTGACACTGCAGAAAACATTATTAGGCTGGATAGTTGTAGGTGAAAGCGAAAAGATTAGTCATAACGTAACCCCCAAGGCGTGTCACTTAATCACTTCATTAGAGAATCAGTTAACTCGGTTCTGGGAGGTAGAAGAGGTACCATATAAAAGGCATCAGTCGGCAGAGGAGTTAGAATGTGAGCGACTATTCGCGGAAACCACTACGCGCGATTTCGAGGGAAGATACACGGTACAACTACCATTCAATGAACGGAAGAATTCCCTCGGTGAATCATATAACATGGCATTGCGTCGATTCCACACCTTAGAGAAGAAATTAGCTAAAGATGACAAATTGAAACAGCAATATTCAGAATATTTGAGAGAGTATTGTAATCTCGGGCATATGTGCGAAATTACTCAGCAGGATAATACACACGAAGGTTATTACATACCCCATCACGCGGTAGTCAAGGCTGAAAGTTTATCTACAAAAGTTCGCGTAGTTTTTGATGCATCTGCTAGAAGCACTAACAATTTGTCATTGAATGATACGTTAAGAGTTGGACCTACCATCCAAGACGAATTAATATTCATTATCATGAGATTCAGGTTACATAACGTAGTGCTTGCAGCTGATATACAAAAAATGTATCGTCAAATTAGAGTTCGCGATTCAGATGCAATTTATCAAAAAATCTTGTGGCGATGGAATGATGACGAAGCTCTTCGTGTATTCAGATTAAATACCGTTACGCAAGGAACAGCACCCGCTCCCTTTCTCGCAGCTAGAACATTACATCAGCTAGCAAATGATCATGGTAATGAATATCCTCAAGCCGCCGCGATATTAAAAAATGATTTTTACGTCGACGACTTGCTCTCGGGTGCAGCCACAATTCAAGAAGCTTTAAAATTAAAAAATCAACTAATCGAACTTTTAAACCTTGGTGGGTTTCAACTTCACAAATGGGCATCAAATAAAGTTGAGTTAACTGGTCAATCAATTGATAATATGAACGAATCGTTAACTATTTGTTTAAATACGCAAACTAGAAAGTTATTAGGGGTTCATTGGAATCCCATTGAAGACGCGTTAATTTATTCTATCAATCCATTGTCGAATAATAAGTGTGTCACAAAACGCAATATATTGTCACAGATTGCATAGCTGTTCGATCCATTAGGACTTTTAGGGCCTGTGATCATAATAGCGAAGCTTATCATGCAAGCACTATGGAAGGCTAATCTTAATTGGGATGAATCTATACCGAGTGCATTATATACGAAATAGGTAAATTTCAAACATGAGCTTCCGATGCTTAATCAGTTTAAAGTACCGCGACAGATTACTTTAGGCAGTTTCGTTGACATTCAACTACATGGATTCTGTGACGCGAGTGAGCGTGCTTATGGCGCCTGTATATACTTGAGATCCGTCAATCAAACTAACAATTGTTACGTACAATTATTATGTGCCAAATCTCGCGTAGCACCAGTTAAAACAATGACCATTCCTAGATTAGAATTATGCGCAGCATATCTTTTGGCGAATTTGGTTAAAACAGTGTTAGAAGCCTTAAAAATAACATTCAACAAGATTCACCTGTGGTCGGATTCCACTATTGTCTTACATTGGATTCAAGCATCTTCGCATATGCTAAAGACGTTCGTTACCAATCGGGTGGCAGAAATTCAGAGGGCAGAATCCTGTTGATTTCATTAGAAACACGCGGTGGTTGCAAGGACCCACGTGGCTCACTCAAAATGAATGCCAATGGAAAATTAGACAATTATCAGAAATAGTTATTCCAGAGCAACGCGTTGCGACCACCCTCCTGGTTGCAGGAAAGGGACACAACAATTTAAACAATGCCAGCTCACAAGTTAAAAATGACACATTTGAACAGTTTTCTTCCATCAGCTCGTTAAATAAATTCGTTGCGTTTTGCCACAGGGCGGTAGTAAATAAAAATTTAGAGATTAAAAGCAAAGGGCGATATACCGCTAAGGAACTGCAAAATGCACATTGGCAAATTATCAAGGTAATTCAACATAATCATTTTTCGCGCGATATCAAAAACCTAAGGGAAGGGAAAGGGTTAGGAGATAAAAGCAAGCTTACATGCTTAAATCCCTTCTTAGATTCAAATAACATCCTGCGTGTTGGAGGTAGATTAACACATGCTGCAATGAGCTATTCGCGTAAATATCCAATGTTATTAACGCGCAATGATCATGGTACCACATTAATCATTCGTCATGAACATGAAAAGAATTGGCACGCAGGTGTGCAAGCCACGTTGAACGCTATTAGGCATAATTATTGGTTAATAGATGGAAAAAACAAAACTCGACACGTTATCCGGAATTGCATACGTTGTAGGAAGTTAAATCCTGAGCTACCATAATACATAATGGGTGATCTGCCCAAACAACGTGTAACACAGTCGAGACCATTTGAAAACGTTGGACTTGATTACTGTGGTCCATTTTCACTTAAAGAAAAGAAATTTCGGAACACTGGAAGCATAAAATCTTATGTAGCAGTATTTGTTTGCTTCAGTACAAGAGCCGTTCATTTAGAATTGGTAACAGATTTAACTACTGAGACTTGTTTAGAAGCGGTAAAACGATTCTGTTCTAGAAGGGGAAAACCCAAAAACATTTACTCTGATAATGCGACCAATTTTGTGGGAGCTAAAAATGAAATTATGAAGATTCAAGCATTTTTTCTAGATGATAAAAATCAATCAAAATTCCAACACTTCTCACTTTCCGAAGGATTTGACTGGCACTTTTCTCCCCCTCGAGCACCGCACTTTGGCGGCTTATGGGAGGCTGCCATCAGATCTTTCAAACATCATCTATATCGCACAGTAGGCGAGTCAATGTTCACGTATGAACAGTTTAATACCTGCATAATTGAAATAGAAGCAATACTGAACTCGCGACCTTTGACTCCATTGTCCAGTGATCCAAATGACCTCATAGCCCTTACTCCAGCTCATTTCCTAATTGGAGATTCGTTAAAAACCGTGCCTGAGCTTGACCTTCGGGATGTGCCAGTCAACCGATTGTCAATGTGGCAGCGAATTCAACAAATAAAGCAACACTTCTGGGTGCGATGGCATAAAGAATATTTAAATCAATTACGAACCAGAAGCAAATGGCATCATAATGATGTAAAGGGAATCTCAGTCGGACAATTGGTGACAATTAGAGAAGACAATCTACTACCAATGCATTGGAGACTCGGTCGTATTATTTCGGTCCACCCAGGACAAGATAATATCGTGCGTGTTGTAACCGTTAAAACGCAAGATGGGATATATAAGCGATGTATTAAGAAACTCGCACCGCTACCAATTAATGTATCCACAGACAATTCCGCTTAGTTAATAAGTAATCTAAAGGTATTCAAACACATAAGGAACCCAAGTTAAACTTAATAAATTATTAGATTGTAAGCACTAGAAATAACAACATGTATTCTTTGTTTCTCATTCGAAGTAAGCGTTAAGTCATAATAATATTTTGCATATTTCTTCATATTTCTCTTGTTGTGCAAATAGCACGAATTATTGTAACTAGTTATGTCACGTCCAGGAAAATTTTACAAATTTGTCCGCCTCACGTTCCCTTATCAAGCCTTCGGGTTGTAGGAGTCTCCTCGTGTAAGGGGCGTGGGGAGGGCAAATTACTACTGCACCTTTCTTTAATTTCTCCTTCACTCTGTGCTTTCCCATCAAGCCTTCGAGTTGTGAGAGACTTCTTCATGTGGGAAATGCACAGGGAAAAGTTTGAGCTTAATAATTATTCTACTTTTGTCTTTCCTATCCTTTTATTCTCCTCATACTTCTCAATTCTTTCTTAGTTAAAACCCTTCCTTGAAACTATCGTCGTGCTCAACTGCGTAGTAACAGAAACATGTGATAGAAAAACTCGGCTTCGACCGAGGAGAAGTATCATAAACACCGTTCGCGGCGCGGTTAGCCAGTGCTTCGCATTATAGGGGTCTCCTCAGGCTAACTGCGCAAAAACGCAAAGATTACGTTATCGCCGAAATTAACATTGATACTCGCCTCTCTTTTTCACGCGTGGGTGCCAGTCGGTCCCTAACTCGATCGCGTGTATGAATTGATTGCTGGAATAAGAACGCAAAGCAATCCAGCTTATTGAATACTTGTATGAATGCGAAAGCGAGGAATGAGAACCCTTGCAGGCAAACGTTAGCAAGCGTTCGAGGTCTGTTTAGAGGCAAAGGGTCGTACGGGGCAATAAAAGTCTTTGTATCGAGTTCCGAGAATTTCCCTGAAACCGAAAACCTAACGGTAATTTTCGAATGGCGAGAACGTTCTCGAAGCAACTACGTCGCAACTGTAATAACGAATATTCGATTAATAATGGAAACCTGTCGTTATTGAAAAATAGCAATCGAACACCGAATGCCTTATATCGAGCGTACCGGCGCAATTCATATTGTTGATCGATTTCTCTGCGAACAAATGATTATGAACAAGCCGATTGTTAATTAAGAAACCACGCGATCATCGGTTTCATTATCCGTGCGCAATGGTACTACGAATGATTGATTCAATTACTTGCAAATTTATTGTTCAATAATTCTGATTTAATTTACTAGTTAATAATCGCATCATTTACTATCTAATATCCAAATTATCGAAAACATGGAACAATCCAGAAATTCTACGGCGTAGAAACACCGAAAAGCCGTTAGACAGAGAGGGAACACCAAGAAAGAGAGAAAACATGATCTAGAGGAATTTAGCTGGCACGCGCGCTCGACCAATAGAAACGCACGCGACGTCGTCGTTACGCGCTGTGATTTGCCGAAATGTCCCCACGCAGGACATCGTCCTCGCGACGGGCCCTTCCGGCTAGGATCGCGATCGATTCTGATCACTCTTCGTCGAACAATCGAGTAAGTCGGGACGGGAGCCCGTGCGTCTAGAGATAGAGTTGTCGTTCGTACTTCGTTGTAATTTACCTGCGCGGCAAGACCTACGAATTAGGCAGAGTGTCGTGAGAGTGAAATTCCGGATACGCGGCAAGAACTCAGAGACGCGCACGTAAAGCCATTTCACATTATTAAACCTCTATCTTTCTCTTTCTTTTAATCCGTTGTTCGCGTAATTCTCGTATTAAATTTACTCGCGTTATCATTATATTATTTCGAAGAGCGTAATCGTCTTGTGTTCGTCTAATTAATTTTGCAATAAACGACAAACGGGCGCGCGACAAGTGTAGTGCCGTCACAGATCTCTCAACCTTTCTTGGTGTTCCAGATCAACCAGCGATTTTCAACGTTCAACCAGCGAATTAACAACCGATTTTATCGTATATAATACTCTACATTCTCACGGTAAGCCTGTTCTGTACTAATTCGTCGAGCACGGCATTAACATTCAATTTAGACACGGCAAAACGGGCGATCTATTAAGCCTACGGGTTATAAGAGTCTCTTCATTTTAGATCCTCCCGTTTCTACAGTCAGGTACCGATTATACTATTTTTCGCTATTTTAATATTCCGAATTTTTCAATCATCGCGAATACATGTGACTGCGAGGTATTTTATCAGGGACGACCTGTAAAGCCCTTCCGGGGGTTATAAGAGTCTCTTCATTCAGGTCGTTTCCTGGCGGATAGCAACCGCCTAAAATTCGATTTTCCTTTATATCCGGTCGAGGCAGTCGTCCTACGTTAACCATATATTTTTCACACTTCAAATACGAGTAATAATTACAATAGAAGCTCTCATTGTAAACCAAAGGTTAGACATTTTTCCGATTTTCATTTATATTATTAACGTACAATAGGTTAAGCATCTTTACCCTTGTTCAAACAGTATTGTTATTAATTGAATTTACTTAACAGTGATTAACAGAAATCAAATAGAATCATTTTAGTATTCAAACAATAGTCATTGCAAAATTCAGTTCTGTTAGCTTCAATAGTTATTTTTGAATTAAATTACTTTCTTTTTGCACACTAAATTGCATTCACATTTCTTTCAAGTTCCATTTCGTATCATCTCCTTTATCATATTACATTTTAATTTCCACGCATACCCACACAAGGTTTCAAGGAGGGACCCGTATGGGACCCAGAGCGCTGACGAACCCAACGGAAATAAATACTATCTAAATTTTCCGTCTTTTAATTTCGTTCTGACCGTAGAGGACGCTTCCGCGTCATACGCGGTCAGAACTGGTGGCAGCGATACCTTTCTCATCGCCCAAAAATAAGAATAATTTCATTCACATTCATCTTTCTTTTACGTTGCGCGGTCACGCAACGCGCAACGTAACAGTTATTAATCATTACTTGTTAAATATCATTATTTTATTTTTGTATCTATTCCTATATATTAAACGTTGAACGCAAGACGTTCAAGGCGGGCGGTGTGTTACGGCGTAACGGCCAAATTGGTTAGAACACATGTATCAAGTTTTTTGTCCTTTAGCAAGTTTTTTCTGTGACCGAACGTCTTGGGTGAAACGCAATCCGGACGTAATTTGATCTCTAACACGTGCGTCGATAATCCATGCGGATTTGAAGGTTCATGCCAGACAATAGAACCAATTACGGAGCATGCTAGAGATGACACCCCCTCCCAACCGGCCAACGAGGCAATATAAGCGCCCGTCAGAAAAATCGGCAGATCATTCTGCTCCAAAGCGTACAACGAGCGGAAACGTGAAATTAAATAGAGAAATTGATTTGCAAAATTTAAAGTGATAGAGTTTTATTTCAAATACACACTGGCAGTTAATGTCTGCCAAGGTAGGCTAAGCATGCCAGAAGGTTTCCTTCAAAACCACAATATATTGCTTAGCATCTAAACAGTTTCAAATATACGTAAACCGTCGAAATACGAATAATAACGTTAATAACTAATAAGCGCGGAACGAATATTAACTAAACGCGACACGCATGTATCCGCAATTTGTCGACGATTATAAAACACCGGTTGCATCTCGCGTAAACCGCTAAACAAAGAGATTAATAGAATAATTAACGAATGAATAATAATTAAGTCGTAGTAGATTTCGAGTATTCCAGAAAACCTTAGAATTGCGACGCATGAAATCCGCCGTAGCGTAAGAGGGGTAGAAAGAAATGGACAACCTTAACCCTTTGACTGCTAAAGGCGTATATATACGCCCTCACAAATACATCAATATATACGAAAAGCGTATATATACGCCCTCATAAACCCATCAATATATATCATATTTCTGCTGACAGTGTGGTGTCAAATTACAAAAAATGCTGACGCCAGTGATTTAGAATCCGCATAGAACAACTACTGCCCCGCATCATCTTTATTTTTTGCGAATAGGACGTTTTTCGATTCTGGGATGCGCCCAGCATCATCTTTATTTTCATTTGCGAATAGGACGTTTTTCGATTCTGGGATGCGCCCCGCATCTTTATTTTCGAAATATTTGTCTTCGAAAACTGCATCAGCTTGAATCGTCGTTGTCGACGATTCCCATTCTTTCCGTCGCCTGCAAAGTAAAACGAATGTAGGACAATTCACACAAGTTACTGAAATGTACATATAAATTGTTAGCACTTACAGTTTTTTATAAGCTTTTTTGAGGGAGAGTCTTCTGGTATTTTTTTTATTTCCCATTTGTGGTTATTTTTTTCACAAATGCTTGGAAATTTTATCAATAATATATATGTATGTATGTCTTCTATGCGAAGATGTCTTATATATATGTATGGTTTCTATGCGAAGAGGCCTTATTGTTAGAAATAAAGAAATAACAACGACAGCCATGGCAACGCTCTAAAAAGAAACGAAACGCCAACGCGCTCTCGTTTTCCAATTTCACTGGCGTCGTTGAACTTGGACCGTGCACAAGGTTTCGGAGAAAGTGAACAGAAAATGGAAAAAGGCGACAGTAAGTGTTTCTTGTTTTCCTTACTTCGCGAATGTCATTGACAATTATAATAAGGTGACCATTTGTACCAAAAATATTTTTTGCTTTGTCTCATATACAGTGGGTTTATATGAGCCTATAATGAAAATTTAAAAAATGTCTTTGGTAGATTCAAATGAGTTATGTGCATGGTTTTAATATTTCATCGAGACCGGTAAATGCATTTAGAAGTTACAATTAAAATTTCCGAGAATCGCAATCTAAGAACATAACTAGTCACGCTCTTAGATGAAAAGCCACGATTTTCAGAAATTGTAACTTCTCAGTGCATTGACCGATCTCAATGAAATTTTCAGCATACACATAACATATTTTTTACACATGTCATATTTTACATTTTCATCACAGGCTCAAATAAAAAAGTTAAAAAATTGCCTTTTCTAGACTCGTGTCCACAAGATAAAAGCGGTGATCTCCAAC